CAGTTTCTGAAGTCCAGTTGAAGCAATGTTCCCAGATTACCAACTGATCTAGGAACCTTCACCAGAAGGTTGCATCGCTGGAAAACAAGCTTCTCTAGAGCTTTATGATTCGATAAATCAGGAATATCTTCTAAGTTGTAGCAACCACGCAAATTTACAACCTTCAAATTCTCATCCACCTGCAAAGCAGAGAGAATTTTTTTAGCAGTGACTTTAACTCAGTTCTATATAATCACACATGCTAGAGGAAAAAAGAGAGCTTACTCTTTTGCTGCACAAACTCTGGACTCGTCTTATTCCACTCTCTGAAAGATCAAGAACAGCAAGTTGCCTAGCAAGAAAATCCGGTGGAAGACTTTTTAATGGGCAACCTCTCCACTGTAACCACTTGAGTTCAGATGGGAGGAGTTTAAGATTTCCTTCCAATTCCACGTGATTAATCTGAAGAAGTCTCAACTTCGACATTGGCACAAAAGGTTCTACGGGAATGGTGATTTCAGAACTCTTTGGCTTTTCCTCTGCTGGAAACTTCACAATTTTACTCTTAATGTAATTGAACATAGAGTTGATGCTCAGATTGTTTTGTAGATTGCTCGACGTAATTTCAACTGCACTTGGCGTCCTCACAAACTTCTTTTTGACGTCAAATACGATTCCTCGGATCGATGATGTTCCCTGTCACCCCATCACAGGAACAAAAACAACCATGAGAATGTAAGTCAAATACAAATGATATATATTAAATGTAGAAAAGAAATACCTTCATATTATTCAATACGGTCATGGTTTCACCACGATCGCAGAGTCTACTTCGCATTCCAGGATCCTCACGGCTTTCTTTAACGACCATTTGCCTTCCCATGTCTCTAATCTGATCATGCATCCAAAGAGTACCGTCTTTGTCTGCCAAGATCTTAACTAGAGACTTCTGTCTGAGCACACCGAGAGCAGCCTCAGCGTCATACCCACATCCTTTTAATACGTCGATGACTTCTTCTTTCGTTATCTCCATTTTAAGAAACAGACACGCAATGTCGAGGAATACTATCTTTTCTTCATCGTCCAAGGATTCGAAACTCAGTGCCAGAACACCTTGGAGATCGTTTGGTTGGGTGTTTTTCAGCTTCTCTAGTTGAGCTTGCCATTCTTTTTCCCCCTTCTTGTCAAACAACGAAGAACCAAACACTTCAACAGCCAGTGGCAACCGTCCCGTCATTTCCACCATCTTCTTGGACAACTCCAATAGGCTCTCTGGTGGTTTCTCTTTTCGTAGTGAATGATAACTAAACAGCTTCAATGCTTGCATCTCAGTCAAGCAGTTGACCTCATATTGTCGGTTCACAGAGAGTTTACTCAGAATCTCAGAATCTCTGGTAGTGATGATGATAAGACTTCCTTCACCGTACCATCCTCTTTCACCAACCAGCGCATCAACCTGGTCTACGTTATCAACATCATCTAAAACCGCAAGAATCTTCTTCTCATGAACACTTTTTCTTATCTTGTCCAGGCCTCCGTTAACATTTTCTATTTGAGGTGGCACAGGGGAAAGTGCCTTGATCAAAGTCTTTTGAAGATTGACTAAACCATCTTGGTCTGATGAACTTTCTCTAACGTTTGAGATGAAAACTCGGTGCTCCTCGAAATTCTCGAGGATCTTGTTATAGAAGCTTTTTGCTAAGGTCGTCTTCCCAATACCACCCATACCGTAAAGTCCAAGGATTTGGACGCCAGAGCTGGCTTTAACGTCGACAAGATCCATCAAATCATGGACACGTGATTCAAGACCAACCGTGTATTCTCCCACTTTCTCCGGTGTATTGCTCACTTCTTCTAAAACCTTTTTCACCACAAGCTTTATCATTTCATCCTCACCCGAGCCTTCTCTGCCAAATTCCAAAAAGAAGAAAAAAAAGAAAAAAAACAGAATGTCAAAATCAAATGGAAAGAAAGCAGTCAAAAACCAAACTAACGTCAGTTCATCTTCTATATGTCTACACAGATCATAAATGTGTAGGACGAAGAAAATTATAGATGGATTGTCCCTACTTGACGACATATCCGGCGAGATTTCCAACTATCTTCATAGCTTCTCTCCATCGCTGTATCTACTCCTTGGTGAATCTTTTGGCGTGTTCTTCAAAATCTTCGGCGAAATGATGGCTCTGTTTACGTACATGCGAAGGATCGACCTTGTAGAAGATGGGTAATATCGGGCGTTTGAGAGATGATCTTCTCAGATCGCAGAGCATGGCCAATTCATCAAGACACCAGCGAGAATCAGCGTAGCGAGGAGATAAGACGACGACGGAGGCTGCCGAGTCTTCCATGGCTGCCACGAGACTAGGAGCGATCTCGTTCCCTCGATCCATACCTTCGTTGTCGCGGAAGACTCGGATTTGTTTCTTGAGCTCGTCGTAGAGAAGACCTACGAAGTTATCGCGCGTGTCTTCGCCTCGGAAGCTGAGGAAGACGTCATACTTGAGCCTATGGGGCTTCGAAAGAACCGCAGCCTCCATATCCGAAACACGAGAAAAAGCTCAGAAATTCTTGAGGACAAGATGCTTGACTCTGGATTGCATATACATTCGCTTGACTTGACTACACACGATGAAGACGACGAAGCTCCTTTCGATTTTGGGGAATCCCCTAATTGAGTTGAGTGTAGTTTCTACTTTGCGTTTTGGATATTTCTAAGTTATTAATTGTAATAAAAAAAAAAAGCCCACTTTCTATTTTGTTGTCTCATGTAAAACAAAAACCTCGCATTGACTTTCAGTAGGAGACAACTCTGAAACGTTCACACACATTGGTCGACACACAGTTCCAATAGAAAAATAACGAGAAAAAATGTTTGAAATGTTATTTCTTTCAAATAATATTTAAAATGTCATTTCTTTCAAATAATATTTAAAAATGTTTCACAACTATTGTATATATTCCGCACTTTTGTTGACTGAGGTTTGGTCTTTCAAATACTAATATGTATGTCTATATTGGTAGTTTTATACTATATTTGTACGTAGTGATAAAGGATTTGATTTAAGAAAACCCTTTATAAAACAAAAACTATATTCCATAGTTTCAAATAATTATTAACACATGATTTAATGTATAAAGCTAACAAATTCTCACTCTCATACTTTAACATTTGGTCTAATTCTTTAAAGTTCCAAATGGCATTGGAGTTGAATCATTATTGAAGAAGTTTTTGTTTTGTTACTGTTTAAGTGTTTATGCATATGCCGGTCAAAAGGGTCATAGCATAGTTTTGTTGTGTTGTAATGAAATTTTCTGGATATGGGGAAAACCTGAGATGTGAGGTTTTCGTCTTATAATATTAGAGATGTATATGTTTCGACGCAGATCGCTGAGCATAAGACAACATGAATTATGTATAATGCAATCGTCTTGTTACACTATATCCATTTTCTTGGTCTCATGTTTGTTAAAATTGAGCGATTTTAATCTGCTAGATCAAATCAAATATTGGTTTATTATCCAATTAACTCTCTTCGATTTTCCAATCAAATATTGAAGTTTTAGCGTATTAAAGATCGGGAAATTTGTGGTGGGTTGTTGGGGTGTTACACCACTTCACCCAGGTTCGATCCTCCCTGAAAACAAAAAACATAATTATGTGAGAAGTCTGGGTTTGGGCCTAAGGTTCAAGCAGTTTACATGGTAGTCCAGTAACAGGCGATCTGGCTACCCCTGACATTAGTCGGAAGGCATTTCAAACTCGGGACAGGTAGTGTGGTGACCCATTTGGATCTCATGGATCTCATGGCCCGTTGACTCGAGTTCGCTCGAAGCTCATGGTGTCCGTTGAACCAGGGAGAAGTCCACACTATAGCACTTCGGTGCGTTCCTACCGGGGCCGACCGGATCAGCCGATAGGGTTTATCAAAAAAAAAAAAAAAAAAAAAAAAGATCGGGAAATCAAAAATTAAAGTTTTAAGATGAGATACACTTGTCAAAGTTTTCACCAATCATATGATATAAAAAGAAAGATGTGTTGGAACCCAATATTAATAAGCATTTGGACTTGTAATATTGAGTTTGTGTGTGAATAAGAAATGAAGTTTAATAAGCAAATGGGCCTTATAAATTCATTTGAGATTTGGGTTTGAGCCTATGGAAATGAAATGTTCCTATTGGTTATAACTAAAAGTGGAAGTTTAGTGGAAGTGTATTTGTCCCACATTGCTCACCAAGGAGAAAAATTTCTTGTATATATATGGCCTTCTCACAATAAAGGTCAACAGCATTGTGGAAGTAAAAAGGCATTATGCAAAAACACCTACGCGCCGCCGCCGGCACCGGGCTCGGGCTCATTGCTCGTTGCATTTTTTAGTTGGCTCTTAGGGCTTTTGGGCTCTATATAGCTTTTTTAGTTGGCTCTTAGGGCTCTTGGGTTCTATATAGCTGGGAGTGGGTCGTGGGTTTCTTAGTTCATGCGAAATATTTTTTGCATATTAAAAGGATAAATCTTAGGAAATAAAAGATTGCGTCCAGATAATAACGGAAGATTTCCGAATCCTTTTACTTGCGGAAAAAGGAGAATATCTCGCGAATATTCCTTTTCGCAAAAGCTTATTCCTTGCGGATCAAACTGAACCTTCCAATATAAATAGACGTCCTCTTCTCTCATTCTAATTCTAATGAATCGAATTGTCGAATACACCAAACACACAGCAAATAATTCTTTCCAGAAAATCCCTCTCGTCTTAATATCGTAAGTGTCTCGAGAGTTATAGCGTAGTATTTTAGTTCGCAGATTCTATTACGGGTGTTGCGTAATAGTCTCATCACGGTTGTATCCTGGGATTCAAAAATCGCAACAAATCGTCACACATTACGGGCGATTTATTGAGTTAAGGAAAGAGATCATATCTCGACTCCGTGTTTTCGTCTGTTTTCAATCGGTTTTCAAACTCTCGTTTTAATCTCTTACTCTCGTTTTAATCTCTTACTTTAACATATCGTTTATAATATTGTTATTTTCTATTCGTGATTTCAATCGGATTTTCGCGGTCTTTTACAAGATGTTGAAGATATATTGGAGGATTCATATACCTGTAAACAAATCCGGAGATATTTCCGACTAAATTCATAGCTCCCCTCCATCGTTGTATCTCCTCCTCCCCAAATCTTTTCGAATGCTCTTCGAAATCCTTTTCGAAAGGACTCTGTTTCCGAAAATGCCAGGGTTCCACCTCATAAAAGATCGGTAACATCCGATGAGCCAAGGACGATTTTAAATCGCAGAGCTTGGCTAATTCTTCTAGGCACCCGTGAGACTTAGCGTAGTCAGGGGACAACACGACGATGAAAGCCACCGAATCCTCCATAGCCTCCACAAGACTTGGACCGAGCTCATGACTCCCGCTTTTCGCATCAATGTTCCATACCCGGACCTGTTTCTTGATGAGTGCTTCATAGAGACGCTCAGTGAAATTGTGGCGTTTGTTTCTTTGGGAACTGAGGAATATGTCCCACTTGAGCCTTGAACACGGATCGGAAACAGCTCCGGTCTTCTTCATCTCCAGATTTTTCCTCTTGGAAATCAAGTTTGAAAGATTAAAAGTGTGTAGAAATTTGTTACGTGAGTCCGAAGAAAAGATTGATTCTTCTTTAGTTTTAGTGCTGCAGCACACGCAACAGTTGTTTTATTTTACTTTTTCAAAAGATGGAAGCGGTCCTAGTCAAAACAACGGACATGGCTCTTCTCCAAACTAAGAACGACACGCAGTTTAAGGTCTGATATAAATAAGAACGGCACACATCGTTAATTGAATTCATGTTTGAAAGAAGGAAAGGGTGCAAGATGTTCTTTTCGTTAGTGCTAAAGCGCACACACACAACATGTTTAACGTTTTCTTCTCTTTCTTTTGTTGTTGTTGTTGTTTCTATGCATTGACTTCCAGAACATGAAACCGTCAAAAAAAAAATTATAAGCTGGAAACTGGAAGCCGTCAAAATCCAAAAGACATAGCTCTTCTCCGAGCCGAAAACGTCACGGAGTGCAATGGTTAACATATATAATCAGAACAACACACATTTATCTAATTATCAGAGATACCAATCACTAATCCGAGAGTCATATACTTCCAAAAGCTGTTGTGAATTGAAGCTGACTCATTCCACGTAATATTAGACCCAATAAGCTTACACTAGCCATCGAATGTTATCTTTGAACAATGAATCAAAAACAATCTGTTTCTACTATATATGTCATTAACTATTTCCAATGATGTTCAAAACCAGATACTTTAGCATAGTTCTGAGTGAAATAAACTATAAAGAAGAATCTAGTAAGATGTGATGGTCAATTCTCATTAAAGAATTCCAATTCTTGAAGAAGTTTCGCGAGTTTCCTTGCATTGTCTTCTTTTATGTGTGCAGGGACCTTCTCCTCGTACCCACTCACGCTCATAAGCTTCTGCAACTTGTTCTTTTGCTTTTCTATTTCTTCAACCTTGCTTCTGATTTTCTCAAGTTCAGCTACTAGGTCGAACGCTGCTCCATCAACTTTGAGATACACCTTGAGGCTCTCGTTCACCGTCTCAACAACAGCAGATCCAGCTTCACCTGCTTTGTCTTCTTCACCCTTCAACACAACCTCAAAGGATGAGAGATTTGCCAGAGTTCTCATCTCCAGCTCATGGGACTGCATAATCCCCAATGTTGATGCGTTTCCACACAGAGCAAACGCATTCAACCTTTCGTTTCTCTGTCTCTCTAGCGACCCTGCAGCTCTCAGTGCTCTAAAAGTTTTCACGGTTGCCAGAACCATGTCCATTTCGGTTTCCACCTTCTCGTTAGTCCACTTCTCTATGGGAGATGGATAGTCACATATCATGATAGATGCCTTCCGTTCACAGTCTTTCGGTGAGGGCAACCGCTGCCACAGCTCTTCCGTGATGAAAGGCATAAACGGATGCAACAATCTCAAGCCAGTCTCGAGACACACCCAGAGAGCGTCTTGTGCATGAGTCCTTCCCGGATTGTCAGCAGAAAAACAAGGCTTGATTGCTTCAACGAACACATCACAAAACTGGTATTGCCACCAAGAATACACTGTGCTGGCTGCATCCGAAAACTCAAAAGCATTCAATGAATCCACTGTCTTTGAGACTGCATTGTTTAGTACAGAGAGAATCCATTGGCAACTGAAGAGCATGGTTTCAAGGCTCAGAGTTTGCAGAGGAGGAGGAGTATAATCATCTCCGAGCTTCATCATTGCAAATCTAACGGCGTTCCACAGCTTATTACACCACTGGCGGTAACCAACAACCCGCAAGACATCCATGTTTACATTATAAGACTGATCAGTGTAGGATATAAGCGCGAATCGAAGAGCATCAGCGCCACATTCAGGGATACCATTTGGAAAATCCTTCACTTGTCCCTCCTTGGCTTTAAGCAGCTCCTTTGGATCCAAGTTACCTTTTTCTAACCTGGTGTGAAGACCCACAAGAGTTTCACCGTTGATGACTTCAAGTGGATCAATGCCATTTCCAAGAGACTTTGACATCTTGCGACCATGTGCATCACGTACCATAGGATGCAAGTAAACCTTGCTGAAGGGAACATCCTCATCACCTAGTTTCATTCCTAACATAACCATGCGAACAACCCAGAAGAAGAGAATGTCAAGTCCAGTTTCAAGAACAGAAACTGGATAGAAAGATTTGAAGTCCTCGGTTTCATCTGGCCATCCAAAAACAGACAAAGGAAAGAGCCCAGAAGAAAACCATGTATCAAGCACATCAGGATCTTGAGAGAGATCCAATAACTTCTTCCCAGAAAATTTACTCGCAGCCTCTTTGCGAGCTTCTTCCTCATCTCTAGCAACAATCCAATGGTCAGTGTAAGCACCTGCTTCCTTGAGCTCATCTTCTTCTAGAGTGGCGTACCATGCCGGTACTCTATGCCCCCACCAAATCTGTCTCGAGATGCACCAGTCACGTATGTCTTCTAACCATCTTCTCCATTCTTTAGAGTATTTCTTTGGGAAAAAATCGAGTTTCCCATTAGCAGCAACATCAAGTGCCTCCTTTGCCATTACGCTGCAATCCACATACCACTGAGGCTTTATCATAGGCTCAACTATATCACCACTTCTTGAGCAAACTCCAATAACCATTTCCTTGTCCTCCGTACCTATGTACAGCCCCTTTACACGCAAAGCCTCTATAACAGCTTCACGAGCATCAAAACGCGCCATCCCCGTGAATTGCCCGCCATTGGTGTTGATTCTTCCATCATCAGTGAAAATGTTGATAAACTCCAGATTGTGGCGCTTTCCAACCTCGAAATCCTTGGGATCATGTGATGGAGTAATCTTAACACAACCAGTACCAAGCTCTGGATCAACAAGCTCCTCATCGCAGATGATTGGTAGCTTCCTTCCACTGAATGGATGCACAGCAAACTCTCCGTGAAGATGCTTGTACCTTTCATCATCTGGATGTACAGCAATGGCGGTATCACCGAGCATTGTTTCCACCCTAGTCGTGGCTACAACCACCTTGCCACCTCCTCTCTCTAAAGGGTAAGCAAACGAAGTCATCACACCAAAGTCTAATTGCTTATCATATCCAGGAACTTTCCTTGGTGTTCTTCCTTTGATGTCAATATGCTCAACCTCACAATCAGATAAAGCTGTTCCTGAGAAACAGTCCCAATGAACAATACGATCTCTCCTGTAGATAAGCCCTTCCTTGTGTAACCTCACAAAGGCTTCAGTGACAGCCTTTGATCTCTGCTCGTCCATTGTAAAACACTCGCGCGACCAATCAAGGGAAGATCCTAAACGACGTAGCTGCGCTTGTATCTTGCCACTGTACTGGTGTGTCCACTTCCAGACTTGTTTCAAGAAATCTTCACGGCCAAGGTCGTTCCTTGTTAATCCTGTTTTGTGCTTGAGCTCTTTCTCGACCACGCCCTGTGTAGCTATACCGGCATGGTCAAACCCAGGAACCCACAAGGTTTCGAAACCAGACATCCTCTTCCAACGAACGAGTGTGTCTTCGATGGCACAGGTTAATTCGTGGCCGATATGCAAAGCTCCAGTGACATTCGGAGGTGGAAGGATCATCACAAACTTGGGTTTGGAGCTCTTCGCATCAGCTTTGAAAAACTCGGATTTTTCCCACCATTCATACCATCTGGTGACCAAAAAACAGAACAAAAACAGAGCATAGAATAAGAAATCATCAAATCAAATCAGCGATTTTGAGAGGGTTTTAAGAGAACTTACGATTTCTCTACGGAAGAAGGATTGTACTGCTTGGCCATCTGAGAAGATAGCCGTTTCCTCTCGCCAAGAGGAGTTTCTGGGTCGACGAAATCTGCAGAATCGTCTCCTTCTTTGCCTGTCTTCTTCTCGGAGAGAGTTTTAGGTTTTGCCGCCTTTATTTCTCCGAGCTTTGCTTTCTCCAATGCCTTTTGCCTCCTCATCTCTTTTTCTCTAGCCTTCTCTTCGTTTTTCAGTTTACGCTCCATCTCCGTAGCAATCTTCTTCTTCTCTGCTTCAGACATGGAGAGGTTGATTTCTGATAGTTCCTTGAAGCGGACGTTTCAGAAACAATGACAATAATAAAACACACAAAAGCTTAGGTCAGTTTTTAATAAAGAAAATTATAGAAAAGTAAGATATGGAAAATATGATAATCGGAAAAACGTGAGATTAAGTAGAAGAATATAAGGAAAAATAAATACTTTGCTTTTACTATAAAACATGAAGTAGTAGTACACACACCAGTTCTCAAAGGATTCTACTCCAATTTCAAACACATGTAAACATTTTGACTTATTATATTTAGAAGCAGAATTAGAAATAACAAGATTCCAGCTTCTTAGCTCTCTCTCCTGCACTCCCAGCCTCTGCATTGCCTTCCATGGCGTAACTCTTCTCCTGCCACCACAAACACCGACATCGTTTTCTCATCACCCAAAACTTATAAACTCAGTTAGGTCCTGCTTTGGAATGCATTATTATTAATATTACCAGCAAACGCCACATGAAAGGAACACCATCTCTGACCTTTATCCTCTCTCTGATCACTTCTTTGGCTGCATAGTTGAGAGACAAGATACTAAACAAGATCAATATAATATCCAATTGAACTGAGAGTTAGACTCTTCAAACAAGCCTGTACCAGTGGAAGATTGGCCTGTGTTTAGCAACAGCTGGCACAACATCTCGTTGAAAACATCTATCTGTTCATCTGATGCCCCGATGATCTGTTATTGACAATCAAACAGTTAAAAAAGGACCATCAAAAGAAGTTTGTTCCAGAGAGTTTTTTGGGTTGCTTGCTGGAGATTTAACTTACCTTGTAACCAATGGCGTTAAAATCTGAACCAAGTAGTTCTAGAGACTTTTTGTAGTTACCCCTTGCGTATTCATAAACAGCTTCTCCCAGCTGATATGAAAGAAAACAAGACTGATATTGATATTGATATTGAGGAGTAGTTATAACGGAAAAGACGGTCAAAGAGGGGGGGAACAAACCTGAATCCCTTTTTGCATCACTTGTTGTTTCTTCTTGTTCATCTTCGATAATCTGCAAGAACAATACAGGTTTATAACAATTCCGGGTAACAATCAGAAACTGTAAAAGGAAAAACAGTTCACACTAACCGGAATTTCAGACCCTCAAGTAATTCATGAGCTCTTGAAGTCTCTCCAACCTTTGCTAATGCCCAAACTATCATTATATCAAGATGCCATTCCAAATACCAATTTACCTGAAATGTTAAAGCAAGTGGCCAAGAGAAGAAAAAAAAAACTATCAAACAGAAGAACGCAAAACTACAAACGATATGGGACTATATACCACTATTGAATGGATTACCTGATCAGTTAAACGAACTGCAAGGATTTTCAGACGGTCTTCAAACCCATCAAGAGCATCTCTTACATCCAAACGCAACAACAAGCCCAGAGCATTAAGATAAACCTAAAGATTTGCAGACAGTTAAATATTGTATAAAGGAAGCAGTAGTATTAATTTCCTATTCGGAAAGAGGATTACTTCGGGAGGAACAGCGTCGTCTCTCTCCAATTCTTTCCAGATGTGATAATCATAAATCTCCTCTACTTTACTCATTGGTGACCCTCCTTCCAAGTAACAAAGAGCAACATGCCACCAATTGTGTGTATACCTGACGAATTTATATATGTTTCTATTATTATCAGGGATTCTACGTGATAAGAGAAGTGCTTGACAATATGTGAGAGCCTTCAGGTAAATGCGAAATGCTTTACATGAAGGATGAGCAAGAAGGCCAAGATCCGGCGAGCCCTTCCATGAACTCTACTGCTTCTTTAAACCGACATTCATGTTGAAGAACATGACACATCTGCAACAAAATTAGTAAAAATTATCAGTAAAGAACTACTGAGTGATAAGTCTTTACATGGAAACTGAGAATACAGGATCCACTTAGTTCAATGGCATATAAAATTGTTTAAGGAACTCACACAGTGATGTGCCCAGGCGTCTTCTTTGTTTATCTCATAGCCTTTTCTGGAAGCTGCTGCAGCTTCTTCCATTCGACCTAGTTCTAACAATGGGAACGCAAGCATACCGTGTATGTAACTTTCTTCTTGATTCGCAACTAAAACCTACAATATTAAGCAGATACAATCAAATTTAATAGCCTTAGACGGTGAATCAATTGAGAGGCCGTTAATTTGATGAGAACTAAAGTACCTGCTGAACAAGACCCAGAAAAGGATCAGGTTGACCCATGTAGAAACATAAAAGCTGTGCTCTCTTCAGAGACACCAGATCCTTAGGGAATTTTTTAAGTAGCTGGAAACCACAATTGAGATCAAAAGAAGGGACTCAAATTGACATAACAAACTAACTTCAGCAAGTTTTCAGAGAATTTGCATATGTACTCATGACCTGAGAATCATCAGAAAGCTACAGAAAACTTTGGATTTTAAACCATAACCGGCGTATTGGTGCCAGATACACAAAGAAATAACGAGACTTCAAAAGTAATGCTTAGGTCAAATAATAGTGGAAGTGGAAAACAACCTCGGTGTGCATTTCAAAAGCCAAGTCGTCATCCCTGTCCTCGGAGATCAGGTAACTAATAGCCTCGAAAACTGCTTTCTCATAAGGTGTAGATTGTTCCTGAAGAAAAACGAATCATACTAAGAATTTTTCTCCAAACAAAGTAGGATAGGAACTATAAATATATGAAGCAGTAAATATAAAGACTCACAAGACTGGATGCCGCAGCTTCAACGTATGAATTAGCTCTGGAAGGTTGAGATGAAAAAAGATAATGAGCAGCTAAAATATTGCCCAAAACACAATCTTTGTCGTAGAATGGTGCTTCTAGAATCACTTTCCTATTCCTCCCATAACTAAGAACCTTCATCAACCACAGAACACGATCAAACAAGAATCACTGAGATCAATGAGAAAGATCGAAGCTTTAAGAAGAAAAAAGACAGAGATTGCACAGCAGAAACTACCCATAAGATCGTAACTAAGAAAGCCCCCCAAATTCAGCTACACAATGAGGTAAAAAATCGTATAAGACTCATAAAATGATCAAAGCCTAGTCACTCATAAATCCTATTAAGGAATACCAACGGACAATTCTATTTATAAGACTGCATCTTGATGCCATAGAAGAAACCTCAATCGCTTTACAAAACTCATGAAAGAGAACACAAAGTCGCATCGCAAATCTGTAACCAATCTGTCTTCGGATGCTCAAATGAATTCCTTTTTTTATGTCTGTAACAAAAGAGGGATGATCGAAGAGTAACCTGTTGAAAATAGGAGTCGATTGCGTCGATACAATCATCGGAAGAGGCATTAACCTCATAACCCCACCGGACACATCTCAGTATCTTCTCCATTTCAAAACAAAAAGACAGAGCTTCTTCTACCTGAAAACTTGCCGCTTTCTACTCGAACAGTTTCGTCTTTCTTCTGGGTTCAAAGATAGTTTGTGAGAAAGACAATCGAAAGATGAAGGAGACAGCGTGATTTGCATTTTCCTTGTCGTCATCAATCATTCAAGTTTGTAACACGAGTTCGTCTCTAGTGACCAGTGACGTGTTCCCCTTTTGGTTTTTGCTCGCCTTTTTGGATAAACAATTATCCGTTTACTTGTGGGATTCTAAAACCGAACCAGACATTTAACCGATTAAATTCACCTATCACGATTCAATCTATTTTAGACCAGGATTCTTGATTTCTTTTATTTCACGTCCTTTTTCTTTTCACTTTTTGAGAAAGACAATACATTATGAGACAATATACTACTAGGCGATTACATGTTTTTCTAAATATTTTGGTTGATTGTTGATTACTTGATTTTTTTACAGTTTCTTCTCCACCATTTTACCGGGAATTGTAGTGTAGAAAATCGGAGTGTATAGTCAGAACATAATATTTAAGTATTTAACCAAATAGTCCGCTTTGATTAAGAAAGGAACAAAAAAAAGAAGAAGAAATGCCCAAGTGGCATATGATTTTATTTAAGTTTTGGCAAATACAGGCTCAAAAAAGAAAAAAAAATCTCAAAGACGACAAACATGCATGATTCAGTATTATTTCATATTCCACGCATTGCTTATAGGAAGCAAAGCATATCACTCAACATTAAACTTCTTCTTTGCGAATGCAATGAACTCTTCCACGGTAGGCATGTAAGGCTTAACAGCTTCATGGGCCCTAAACTTCTCGGCCCACTGGATAAGCCCAGGTGTAGTCTCTTGCCGGAGAAACTTGACGCCGGAGAATGCCTCGATCACAGAGACTGGACCCAAAATGGTCCCACAAGCAATGTCAAGGAAACCGATGTTTTCTCCTCCGAAGAAACTTAATCCTTTGCTGCTCTTCTGAAACGCCTCTTCAAGTGTCGCCAAACACTCCATCAGCTTTCCCGCCGCCGCCATCCTGCCTTGGTCGTCTTTTGCTCCGCCCACAGCATCCAACGCTGCAAATATCTGTTTTATACATATACACATAAATCATAAATGTAAGAAAACTTTCACTACATATCTTACTCATGTTGTTTTTATTTCAGATATTTCTCTGTTGTGAGTTATTCAGATGTTTGGTCAATTAATCGAATACCATCTAATAGAAACCGGATCTTAATCCAATCAAATCTATCTTGAATGTCAAGATCGAAGCTTTTTGTTTTGTTTGTTGAACCAGCCGGTTTCCGTTTTCAATTGATGAAAAAGTTTGAAACTTTTGAATAACCCATAACCAAAAACAGAGTAAATCAGTAAAACGGATCTCAATTTAAACAGATCTATATTCGAATATCAAGATCCTCGACTTCAAAAACTAAAGCTTTAAACTTTGACAAGCAAAACAGAGCATGTGTGATACATCTAATAAAAGAGATCCAATCCAGGGAGTTAAAATCTAAACTAGTTACCTTGTCGTCGACGAAAAGAGCCCAGAACCGAGCGTTGGCACGATCGTAAGGATGAGAAGGAAGGATGGGAATATCGGAGGACCAAGCTTCATCGACGTACTGAATGATGTTGAGTGACTCACAGATGGAAACATCTCCATGGATAAGAACAGGGACTTTCTTGAAGATGGGATTGGACTTGAGAAGGAGTTCGCTCTTTGAATTGAGAACATCAGGTTCGTCCAAGTACTCATACTTGACAGATTTCAAGTGTAGAGCCACTCGAGCCCTAAGGGCATAAGGGCTTGACCAACAACCTATCAGCTTCACTGTATCGTTCTGAGCCATCTTTTTCTTCTTGTTTTTTATTGATCTAAAGTGTTACTGCACTATTCGGGTGAGTATCTCAGTATATATAGTAGAATTAAGGGGTCGTGTTTCTCGTTGGCACATGGCAGGTGCGTCAAAGGTGGTGTTCTTATAATACTTTTGAATTTTCTATTACCTACCTACCAAGTGATGGCTTAGATGTTTAGATATTAATTAATACACACCTAGGATTAGGACTAGGTGTTGAAACTTGACCACTGCAACAAATATTTATTGTGGCTAACCAAGAATTGCTCACAAAAACCAAAATTCATTAAATCAAATTCACTCATTCTGCACAAAATTCATGTTCATATTCATCTTCTTATATATAAAAGTTGCTTAACTTTCACCATATGATTGACACATCAGCATAGGATAGGTTGACACCTGTCCTTAAATTTTAATTAATAAATTTTAATATTAAATTTTAAAACAATGAAAGAATATGAAAAATTTATTTTATTAATTGACTCTTAATTAAAATTTATATTAATGTTAAATAACAATTTATGTTATAACTAATTAAAAATATTGATAGATATGTATTTAATTTTTATATAATTGTAGATTACTTAATAATATTTAGATTACTTAATAATATTCAAGATGTATTTTAAATTAATTTTTTAAGATTATTTATCATAAAATACTGACAAGTAACAAATAAAATGATGATTATATTAATTTTTTTTTTTTAATTAATTGACTATCAATTAATATTTCTGTAAATGTTAAACAAAAATTTATGTTATAACTAATTAAAAATATTGAATGATATTTATTAATCTTAATATAATTTTAAATTAATAAATAATATTCAATATGTATTAATATTTTATAATTTTTTAGAATAAAATATTAACAAGTAAGTAAGTAACAAGTAATGATTATATTAATTTTTACAAAAATATAAAAAAAGTTTGAAAATTTTAAAAAGAAAAACCCACACGTAACGTGCGGATATTCACCTAGTATATATAAAAGTTGCTCAACTTTCTCCCTAAGTTTGACACATCAGCATTGGAGAGTTTGACACCTGTCACTTAAATTTTAATTAATAAATTTTAAAACACTTAAAGAATATAAAAAATTTATTTTATTAATTGACTCATAATTAACATTTATATTAATGTTAAACAAACATTTATGTTATAACTGATTAAAAATATTAATAGATATGTATTTAATTTTTATATAACTGTATATTACTTAATAATATTCCAGATGTATTTTAAATTAATTTTTTAAGATTGTTTATAATAAAATACTAACAAGTAACAAATGAAATGATGATTATATTTATTTTAATTTTTTAGTAATTAATTATTAATTAATATTTGTGTAAATGTTAAACAAAAATTTATATTATAACTAATTAAAAATATTGAATGATACTTATTAATTTTAATATAACTTTAAATTATTAAATAATATTCAATATGTATTTTAAATTAATATTTTAAAATTTTTAGAATACAATATTAACAAGTAAGTAAGTAACAAGTGATGACTATATTAATTTTTATAAAATTATATAAAAAAAAGTTTGAAAAAAATTGAAAAGAAAAATCTGCACGTAACGTGCGGATATTCACCTAGTATTCATAAAATCCATCTAATTTTATAGATAACTATAATGATAGCAAATCCAAAAAAAATAAAAAAATCAGCCACTAGGGAATATACCCTCAAGCCTGCCCTGAAGGTAGCTGCAAAAACCTGACAGTACAAGGACTCTTTTGAAAGAAACCAAGGCTTATGAAATTGAACAAGCCTCTTTATTCTCTACATATATTTAGTTAATAATGGAGTTAAATAAAAAATGTTTAATTGAAGAAACTATGTTGCACATTTCATGGAAAATGTTATTTTCTGTCATTAATTATGTGCCCTTCCTTACAGAGCCCATAATGTGGTGACTAAGACAACACGTGGGAGCGTCCGACTCGAATCATGTGATGCTAAATGCTTATTTTATCTGACATTGCATGCAAAATCAATTACTAAATTTGATAAAGGTCTTAAACACCTGCTGCAGAGTAATAGAATAAAGAGCAATTACTCTGCTTTGTGCATCCTTTCCCACTATAGTAAGCATTCACAGCATATTATTCAGGGACATAAGAAGGTTTTAAAATCACAGGTTTCCTATAAAACAAAAACAAAAAAAAATCACAGGTTTCCAAAACTTTGGCCAATCTTCATAACCAAATAACCCACTAAATAGCAACACAATAAACCTTTCTTTCTAGTTTTCCTACTTTATTTCCCTCACAAGTCAGAACCAGACAAATCAAAGAACTTGTACTCAGATAACTTTCTTGTGAGAAGATATATCCCTTACTACAATTTTAGTCACCAAAAGCTCTAGCCACACACTTGTTTAGCATCTTGACAAAAGAAATGGTTCAAATGTTTGCCTGTAAATTAAAAAATTCAGAATCCACAACTCGATGAGGAAGTTGAACAGAGGTACCAGACTTGCAGCAGTGCCACTGGACTGTATATTATGTAAAAACTGCAAAACTATTTGACTTTTCTGTCAAGTGTCAACTTTTCAAGAGCCCTTCATTATATTATATATATAGATACATTATAGATTGTTCTATATATACAGAGATCTAAAACAATTAGCTCCATAAACTCCCATCTGCTTCTTCCATTTTCCTTTTCTAACGAAAAAATCCTGAATCCGGCCAAAAACAATGTTATGTCATCTCATGTTGCAGCATCGGGGCTTCCCGAGTCTCTGCAGTTTATCCCACATGCAAATCATCTGCCGTGGCGACTGATAATGAGCGGTGAAGTAGTCTTCTATGCATCCGAACTGGCAGAATCTGAGGCTGTGAACCACCGCCACAGGTCTAGTCTCATTGAACTTCTCCACCCACATTCCCATGCTCACATCTTCCATCTTGAATAACTGCAATAACCAACAAGCACCATCTCCATATCAACAGATGCTGAATTCCATATAAAAGAAAACACTTTTTTATAAAGGCCTCTTGGATAGGTCACCTCAAAATCTAGTATAAGCGTAAAGGATAACTTACTCTTAGTCTCTGCTGTTCGTAATCATCGACGATGAACTTAGCTATATCATATGACAAGATGTAACCCGGACCATTTGCGTATGGAGGATAATACTCTTCTGGCCATTCCTGTTGGTTTCACAATTCAGAAAAATCAATATAAAGTCTAAACACCGCACGTTTCCTGTTACTTGTTCAGCTCAGTTGAGTTTCGGGTCTGATATACCTCGTAGGTCACAGCCCATTTCCCGGTGCGCAGAGGCTTATGGTAGAAGTTAATGTTTCCGATATAAAGGCTCTCTCTTCCCTTAACCTTCTCTGCTTCCTGGATCACAGCATCCACTCGCACAAATGTATCATCGTCACATTTCATTATATACTTTGCCGCCACTGTGCTAACCTACAAATTCCCAAATAAATCATCAGAAAAGTAACCCAAAATAAGGAGAACGAAAAGAGGGTGGAAGAGGTTGTTCATCTTATCACCCCATATTCGCAGATAGCAACCGTCTTGAGCACAACAAGGTCATAATGATCCATGTACGGTACTATGACAATATCACTAAAGTACTCGGCTTCTTTCTTCAGGTCCACATTGACTTCTTTTCTTGCGTGCTGCCCATGAAATAACAATAACAAACGAATGAAGTTGAAACCAATCAATGACTATATTTAGGTGGTATTCTCTATCAAGAATTGTGTTTTACCAATGCCACAAAGAACCGGGCAACAACTTTCGATGATCTGACTAGCTTATGCTGCATCCATGACTTCCTCACGGCCATTCTCTCCGCGAAATGGTTCCCGGCAGAGAGAATTCCGATGAACAGCTCTACAGGCTTTTGAGGTAATGCAGGAGCTTTCCATATGCTTTGCATCTCGAGATGCTTTTGTGGTGCAAAACTTGGATTTGTAGAAGGTAACGAGGAAGCATATACCGAATGCACATCAATGTTTCCTTTGACTGCTAATCCAGTGGCATCCTCTAGAACAAACCCCTGGAAAAACAAAAACAAAAAACCATTATACCGGTCAATCTTAACACCATTTCATCTAACAAATTCTCGAAAGTATCGAATCAATTACTCACGGTTCTATAAGGGAAAGATGTGATGTGTCTTCCATTAACGCTGATATGGTAACCTTCCATTCCAGCTCGAAGGGTAAGCACAAAGAGCTTCCCTTCTGCAAAAGGGTATGGCCAATCATGTGTCATCATCTTCTTCCTCCGACCCATCAGCCTGTTCAACCACCATGTCCTCTTTGCTTCATCAGAATCATCACCACCATCATCCCTCTTCCACCTCTCACATTTCACCTCTCCATCAACTTCACAAAACCCAGAAAACCAAATTAGGATTAAAGAAAGAAAGAAAAAAAAAACGAAACCTTTAGTATCCAGGTACGTGCGTTGAAATTTCGAAGTCAAATTAAACAATTGTTTTAAGTCAACTCTAGTTCAACAATCACAATCAAAGTTTCAGATTTATCAATGATAAAAGAAAAAGAGACTAGTTTAATCAAGTCAAGTCAATACCGGATTCTTCGTCATCACTAGATTCGCGACCATCGCAGCGTAAAGCAGAGCCCCATTGCATCCGATAACAAGTGTTCTGCTCAATCACTGGTCTCCCACTCCAGTCACCTTTGATTCTCGGGTTGAAATGGAGGATCCGAGGCGGATCTTCGCCGTCCGCCGCCTTCAATCCCTGCAATTCCATCATGAATTGCGTCACCATCTCCGTTTTATCGTCTCCTTCCTTGGAATCCGTTATCCTTCCGTATTTCTCGGCGTGTGCCCAATGCGGCGTCGCCACGACGGTGATGTGAGATCCAAGTGTTAATCCACAAGGAAGAACCAAGATCCGGCTCCGGTTCACGAACTCCGACCCGGTAACCGAAACCATATCGGGACATTTCTCCGTCCGGTTTTTAATCGGCGTTACATCGGATTTGATTAAACCCGAATCGAGCCCGTCCCACATTTTCTTTCCCATGGAAATCGCATGCTTCACGGTTTTGTGGAAGATGGAGAACTCATCGCTGAATCCGCCGCCGTCGAAAAAGCTCTCGTTGGCGAAGATTTCAGAGACGGTTTTAAACTCTCGCATTTTCCGCTCCGGTGAGCGAAGCTGGACATGACCCACCCGATTCACCCGACCCGGATCCTTGAAAGGTCGATGTGGGTCTTCTTCTCCGATAGCCCGGTTTGCTTCCCTACCAACAACCATCTGTCTCGGCAATGCATCAGCGAAAGACGAAGAAGAGCCGTCCTCAGAGCCGGACCCGGACCCGGACCCGCTTCTGAAGATGAAAGGGATCTCGAAGCTCATGCAGAGAAAGTAAAAGAGGAGAACAGCCATTAGGAACTGAACCAGCCCGAATCGACTCTGTGAAGCGGAGTAATCGAGTTTAGACTTCTTCATTGCTTAATCAAAACCCTAGAAACAAGTTTGGATTTTGAAGAATGAAGAAGGAGAAGAAAGGGAGGAACAAAATGGCCTAGTAAAGAGCTCACAAATTTGGTTAAGCCATAAATGCAATAAATTCCATTTTTATACTAAGAAGAATTAAAACGTTGCAGAAATTTTCAAAAAGGCAACACTTTGTTGAAAAAAAAAAAAACTTGATTTGAGTTCCAATTTTAAAGCGAAATCAAAAGGAAACAAAAGCTTTGAACAGAGAAATAATAATTCTGTGCTTTTGCGAGGTCAGTAACCGGCGTACGAAGATGGAAATCCAGTTACTGTTGAAAAACTACTTCGTTTGTATCGAATTCACACACTCTAGTGAATAGCAACAAAGTATATATTTTTGAAATCACAAATAATATTTAGCGTTTTGTGTGTTATTTGTGTATAGAATAAACTTGACGTCCTTTTATAAGCTTTGACAAGCTTTGATATTTGTGAAGTTTAAGTTAATACTACTCCTAATTATGAACTTATGAACGGTTAAACACATAAAACAAAACTTAACCGGTGATCATTTGAACGTTCTTGGTGTAGCAAAACTCCAACTACAAATACAAATAACCGCTAATAACATTATTAATGGTAAGTTACGGTTATATATTTCTTGGCCCAAATTCCAAGTTAGAAAGTGAAGGCTGAGTTTATGATAATATTTTAAATATTAAAATAAAGACAGCCAGGTGGTTTTGAGAGGACTGAGGAGATACCCACCACATATTCTCAATTATTTTAGAGAAAAAACGGAACCAATATTTCAAAAAGTAGTATAATTTCGGAAGTTTTATTTTTGGTTTAACATGAATCATTAGTTTATGCATTTTCAAATTCAGACCACCAGTGACAACGTAATTATGGTAATGTCGGTGATAACTTTAGTTTATGCTCGGCTACATATCCTTTGATAGTTGTTCACGTCGTTTAGTTTCATTTTCACTATTCATTTCCCAAATTCAAATTTCGAATAATCTTCATGGGACCATTTACTACAGTATACCCAAAAAAACACCTTACTAGATATATGTAATTTACGTTTTTGTCTTACATTACATATACTAATAAAATTGTTCAAGTTGTCTGATTATTTTATTATATCTGGTTTCTTTTCTGGATGATGGAAAAAGTAAATTGGGTAAGAGTGATATAAGTATATAACCCATGATTTATGATCTGTAGCATGTGCTAAAAGGTATTTGCTTGGTCTATAGTTGAAAAATTCCAACATATAATACTAATTATATTATGGGTTCGATCTTTCAAACACATAGCCACATAGGTAATACTATTAAGGGAATTAAAATTTTGTGAAATAAATTATTTAGACTTGTTTCTTTATTTCGCTTCGAGATAAAAGTTAGGCCTGAAGGTTAAACCATTGACCAAACAACAAATGAAGAGTTGGCAGCTCATTGGTCTTCAAATGATTAGTTTAAATAAAAAAGATGAATATGATAGAAGTCAAAATACACACTTACAAGTTACAAGGCAAGTAATGATATTATGAGTTTATAATGAACCAAATTTTGAAATTTAACCTTTTTTTTTTATAAGGGACAGATGATTATTAGACACGACAAAATACGAGTATCATCAAACTACCAAAATACATTAACCTGATACTTTATCATCTTTTAAAATTTCATCAACTGAATATTTATTCTCTATTCCTTGGGGATTTTGATGAACTATGTTCATAAGGATTATGATGTTCGTAATCGTAAATTAAACATCACTTGCTTGCACCGTTACATGCATGTCGCATGGTATATATAAGAAATAGACAAAAGAGTTATCGATTCATTTTGGTATTTTGAACATTTATTATGTTGTGTTGCATGCATGGTTGTAAATTTGTAATTTTGGACGGGACGGCTCGCTCATTCATTTGTAAGAGCATGTTCAACCCTGAACTCAATCATGGGGTTGTTAAAAATATTTTAATATTTTTTTTTTTAATTTCTGAATAGTTTAGAACTCTTCTCTTTTTTCTTTGCTCCAACGTTGAACCCTTCTCTGTTTCTTTTCTAATTAGTCGGGTAAAGAATCACAGACGAAACCTCCAACTATGGTTTTTGCTCTCTGAATCGCTGAGAAGAAAAAGAAAAAAACATCATTTTCCCAGCCTAACCCCAATACATCATCATTCTCATCGTTTTAACCATACAATTTTGGATATAATTCCAGAAAACCCTTACAAATTCACTTAGGTACTGAGAATGTGTGAGCTTCGCCGACGAACAACCATTTCTTAGAAACGCTTTCTTTCCATGAAACGTGGAATGTGTTGAGAGAGACTTTCAGTGAAAGAGAATGTCAGAGCTTGTAAAATTGTCATCGTCTCTGAGATTTTTAAACCCAAAGATCTCACTTTTGGTTCCTTGTCAAATCTGGAACTCCCTTTCTCAACGGAGAAAATTCAATTTTCTTTCTTTTCCCGAGAAGATCAGCATGGTAACGGAGAGAATCAGAGCAGTCGATACTCGGAAGCAGGCTGGTTGCTTAAAAGAGCTCGATGACTCGCCGGTCTCGGTTGAGCTTGGACCGATCTGTAGCGAGAACGACTTCCATCAGGTTGATATGGTTGAGAAACGGTGAGAAAAATGGTCTCTCAAATAATTTTTTTCTTGCCGAATGATAACGTGTCACGTGTGTTATGAACCTCACTAAAAGCAGGTTTTAAAACCTTAGAACCGGTTCAACACATATGTGGGCTTTTCTGATTAAATAATAATGCTATAAACCCGCGTATGAACCCCTATAAACCCTGCATTGGACCTCGTCTTAGTTTGGTACACAAGACGCTAAAGCCTCAATTTTGGTTACTTTTAGTGATAGATAATGGTCTTATTAATGGGTAGCATGAATGTAAGTCTAGGTCTTGGTGATTTGTCAACATAGTTAACATGAAATTTTAATACTCTTTTATATAAATTCATTCATACCCAACTTTATATATTTTTCAAACAAAATCAGATACCGATTGTTTTTTTAAAACCATCACTACAAGAAAAAAATCGTTTTGCAACGGTCCATTACGACGGTTTTCAAATCGTCGTAAGTTTACAACGATTTTACGACGATCTTACGTCTATTTTAAAAACCGTCGTAACACCGTCGTATAAAAAAATCGTCGTAAACTCGACGTACAATTTACGACGAATTACGACGATTATACATCGATAACGAGAGATTGGCTAGTAAATGTAAAATCGTCGTAAATTCGATGTAACATTACGACGAATATACGACGACTGCATTTCGATGTACATATTACGATGATTTTACGTCGAAAAAAAGTTAAATGGAAAACATTTAAAACATGTTTACCTAACAATTGCAGGGGATAGATTTTATCGCATAATCGTCGTAAACTTGTCGTAATATTATTTTTGAATGTAAATTCGTCGTAAAATGTCGTCGTAAAAGCGTTGTAAAGCCCGAAATTTTCATATAAATAGATATTCATTCCTTCTTTCAATCACAACACATCATCATTCAAACATAAGAGCATCTTCATCTTTGAGACCCATTGTAGGTCTCTTAAATTTTAGTGTAGTGTTGTAAATCCTTATATATTGGGTTGTCCATTGCTGGAAACCCGAATTAAGAGTTATATTACTTTAAAAAAAGAAGTAATAATATTATAAGGTTAATTTACTCCATTCACGTGGCTAGATCGTGACACAATTGTCTAATCAATAAAAAGAGATAGTATTTTGAGTTTATTTTCAAGATGTCTATATCCGAGCTAAGAAATTGGATGTATATGCGTAAAGATTCAGATGGGGCGTTGACAGAAGAGTTCAAGAACGGGTTAGAAATATTTATGTTTCAGGCTACAAATATGAAGAGAACGAAAGATAGTGGGAAGATGTTTTGTCCTTGTTTGAAATGCAATAATACGAAGTATACACTAACCAAAACTGTGTGGACGCATTTATTAAATAGAAGGTTTATGCCACAATATTTTGTTTGGTATCTACATGGAGAAGGATATGACAGTAATACTCATGGGAATGCTGGTAGTAGTAGTAATTATCAAAGTCATGTTGATATTGATGAATCGAATTATGGTCATCAGCCTAATCAGTATCAATATGATCAGATTGTAGATCATGATAGGATGCACGAAATGGTGACTGATGCAATTCATGAAACGCATACTGGTAATGCTGTTGAGGAACCTAATGTAGATGCCTAACGATTTTATGATTTGTTAGACAATACTAATCAGCCAATCTACGAAAGATGTAGAGAAGACTTGTCTAAATTATCGTTGGCAGCTAGGATGATGTCAATTAAAACAGATCATAACCTGGCTGAGGTTTGCATGGATGATTGGGCTGATTTTTTGAAGGAGTATCTACCGGAGGATAACTTGGCAGCGGGAACATACTATGAAATTCAGAAGTTGATTTTCAGTCTTGGTCTACCTTCTGAGATGATAGATGTATGTGTTTACAACTGTATGATTTTTTGGAAAGATGATAATCTGCTGGAGGAATGTCGATTTTGCCAAAAACCAAGATATAGGCCGCAAACTGGTGGGCGGAAAAGGATACCGTACCAACGTATATGGTATCTCCCTATAACTGATAGGTTAAAACGGCTTTATCAATCTTAAAGGACAGCTGCATCAATGAGATGGCATACAGAACATACACAAGTAGATGGAGAAGTTGTTCATCCATCAGATGCAAAGGCATGGAAACACATCAATATGGTATACCAAAATTTTGCTAAGTTCAAACGGAATGTCTATCTTGGTCTGTGCACTGATGGTTTTAGTCCATTTGGTATGTCTGGTAGACAATATTCATTATGGCCAGTAATCCTAACTCCTTATAACCTTCCTCCAGATTTGTGCATGCAAAGGGAATTTCTTTTCCTAAGTATTTTGGTTCCAGGTCCAAATCATCCGAAGCGAGCTCTCGATGTATTTCTGCAGCCACTCATACATGAGTTGAATCAGTTATGGTATACTGGCGTTCGTACATATGACTGTTCTACGAGGAAAAATTTTACTATGTGGGCTGTGCTTATGTGGACAATAAGCGATTTCCCCGCTTATGGTATGCTATCAGGATGGACTACACATGGGAGGCTATCTTGTCCTTATTGTCTTCATCGAACTGATGCGTTTCAGCTAAAACATGGTAGAAAAACTTGTTGGTTTGATTGTCACCGGAGGTTTTTACCGGATAACCATCCATA